AAAATTTTCATTCTCAATTATCTCATCTCTAGTGTTTCATACCCAGATAAAAACCACAAGTGTCAAAGCCGACTCAAGTTAGTGTATGATACATTAGATTTCTAACACTTCTATCACCATCCTTCATGTGACGGACTGATTACCTAAAGCAGTGTTAAATCAGACTCCCGTCAATACCATAGAATTACATTATGATTGATTTGACACTAGACAAATATAGGTGAATAAGTGAGACCGGATTAGTTCAGACATTATTGTACAGCTGAAATATACAGTTCTGTCACCTTAAATTAATAAGTCTTCTTCCAAATAATAGATTTAATTTGTGAATATACAGTTTTTTTAAAATTATCTTCAGAATATTTTCGATAAAGAAGCTAGAGATAAATGATAAAATTTGCCAGTAGTAATAAATATAATAAATAACCTGTTTGCCTTTGCAAATAGCAAGAGTAAATTCATGAATTAGAATGTGTATATTACTATATAATATCACATCAAACTGATGATCATGAAAAATGCTGTGAAGCCAATCCATATTGTTTAAATTTTACGTCTAGAACAAATAACTAACCATTTACTCTCAGCTTTGAGTATGACTGTTATCTATAGCTTTCTTTTCGTTCATAGGATCATTGTATTTCTATGATCATTCTACTTATATATTATAATTAGCTGACATGATTTTAATCACATTTTAAGGTTTGACATGATAAAGTATGATTCCTTTATTATTCAGACGAATGACAATTTCTTTAATATCTATTCATTACGTAAAACAACTTTTTTATTGAATAAAATTCAGTCGACAATTAATGTATAAAGATTTAAAATTGTCATAATCTATTCGACTTAAAAATAATCCAATTCTGACAGAAAGAGACTGACTACATCATCCGCTTAGCACCATTCTCCTTTAGTAATCCAATTAAATTCATATTAGATTGGAACCATATTAAACGTTAGTTAATTAGACGAAATGAACAATGAACCATTCGCTTATTGTTATTATTTATATTTAGTGAGTATATATATAAATAACTTAGGGAAAAATATCACAAAAATGGCACGTGTCACATCTTTTTGTAGAGAAACAATCATATGCAGAATTACCATGTAATCCTCAAATCAATAGTAGTTTACTGAATTATAAACAGTATGTTTACAGTGGTTATAGCATATAAACTGGGGGGGGGGGAACAGATTAACAGTTATTTGTTTACAAATATATACAATCAATGAATGGAATGACAAGATGAATAAATATTGAATAGGTAAAAGACAATGATCTACTTAGTATTTGTATTACAAAAAAAGAACAATATTTACTCCAATTACTTTCAGTTTAATAATTACATAACATATCATATACACTTAAACAAAATAATAATAAATGAATTAAAGTGAAATGATTTCACGCTTGATATATTGAATTTATCTATTTATCAATCAGTACCTATTTCTTCATGTTAATCCTTATTGATAATTTTATTCACATCCAAAATAACAAAAGTATTCATATCAATGTATACAATAAAACATTAAACAAAAGGTAAAAGGGAATAAAGCATTTTTCTTACTCTCAGAAAGAAAATAATAATAAGATTTAAGTAGAATATTTATAAAGATTAATTGGTATGGAAAATCATTCTTTTTTTCTTTTAGGAAAATTAATTGACACACGCGCGCGAGACTGATAAGTCCTGGGTTCGAATCTCACGGGGGGTGGGATCGTGGATGCTCACTGTTGAGAAGTCCCATACTAGGACGAAACGGCCATCCAGTGCTTTCAGGTTTTCCATAGTGATCTAGCTTCAATCAACTCACGATTTCAACTATTGAAATATATCATATGGTTAATAAGAAATGCTTACTTAAAAATAAGAAAATAATTTTGAAAATGATAATTATCAAAAGATTTTATTGATATTTTTATAATTTGTTGATTGAGATCATGAACCGATTGATGTTAGATCATCATTGAAAATCTGGAAGCATTGAACGGCCATTTCCTCTTATTATGGGACTCTTCAGCAGTGCGCATCTACGATCCCGCTCACGTGATTCAAACCCAGGAACTTCGATCTCGTTTGTGAACGCTTAACCTCTAGACTACTGAGCCAGCATCTAACGGTGTTAATGTTATAATTTTTATGTCATGTCATACTGGATTAATTAGAATGCTAAAACACAAATCCAAAAAATGCGCAAATAAATTATGTCAACATTGAGGAGATTAGAATTGATATGAATAGTTATCAGACACGGAATGATTTTTACGGTTTAATATAAGATAGATTATTGATTAATCAAAATAATTTAAAAGTATAGATCGACTAGTTACATTTATGCAAAAATGAGTTGATTGATTATATGCCTCCTATCATTAACGTGTTGAAAATAAATGATGAAAATCTGCATAACTACTATTAAAACCGTATGAATTATAAGCCCATTCTTAATTTTTCTTTGTTAGAAAATATTATTTGGTCTAGTCAAAAAATATTTTTCAAGACAGTTTTCTACATTAGATGACGTTGTGACATGATACAGAATTTTATATTGTCATGTTTACATTTCTATCAACAGATTAACCTCATTCGTCGAATAATACATTTTCGAAATAAACATTTCTAGTCATCGAATCCCTTCATACACGAGAAATTATCCAAAAGTACTTATAATCGATCACGTATTCGTTTATTCTGCCCCCAGTGTCAGCATCTAACATTAGTAAGGTAGGATAAACTAGAATGATATGCAATATAAGCGCCTATTGAAAGTCCAATATTTTATCAACGCTACATGTTGATAAATGTCAAATTATGGTCTCGGATGTATTGGAATTAACCTAGCAACTCAGTGTTAAAGCAACTACTTGACAGCTTCACATACTATTTCTGCATAAGATGTTGAAACGGACTAATCTTAGAAGATAACTTCGCAGGTAAGTAGGCCAATTTCTAAAACCCTGAGGTAAAAGAGTCATGTTCACCAGTGGTAGGCAAATGACTGTTGAGTCGATGGAAGAATTTAAAAAAGAGCTAGCAGATAGATAAATTCGCTTATTACTTGTGTAAATGTTACAAGTCCTTCTTACTGATAGGAAAAATTGCTTTCTTTAAATACATGAAAATAGTATTAGGAACTGGCACGTTTGGTTATTTTAGATTTGGTCAACGAACGTTTATAGACGTCTAAAACTGCCCGATTTGTTGTCCCAGAACTGAAATCAAGCATCATAATGTCAGAATCTGAATTTATACCTCTTGGATCAAGTCACGAAGAGACCGTAATTGTACTACTGCATTACAGTCACTAAGGTGTAAGAACGGAGGAAGCCATGAATTAATTTAGTTAACATTCTATTGAAGATTTTTTAAATAACTGTAAGATGTAAAGCTCAAGTTTGTCCAAAATTTAAATGTGTCGTATTTAGTTGATAAAGTTGAAGAGAAATCTATCATGTATGATATCTCTTTTAAAATACTGTATATTGTCAACCTGTTTTTTGTAAAAGACATTCACTTGACTGGATTTGTCTACATCTCATCAGACCTAGGTTTAATATAGTTTTGAGTCGATAAATTATCCGGAAATCAAATATCCATGAATGTAACATACATTTTTGGTAGTAAAGAAATAAATCAAACAGTTTTTCTACACAGCCCCTTATTTGTTAGGAGTTGAATCATTAAACAAGTTAAAACTAGATCTATAATAGTAAACAGTTATGACAACAAACTTCTCGATAGAACACAATCCGTTAATTCACCGGTTCTATGATAAGGGGGTTATTGATAAGTAACAACAACGTAAGAATTATAAAACACACAAGTATAGGATTATGTACACTCAGATAGGATACTTATTCATTTTCATAATTCGTATTAAAACTGATTTAGAACTTAAAAATCTACGACCTAAAAATTTAATAGTATTCTCTTAATATGACAAGTTAGTCATCTAGCCAAGAGAGTAAGAAGTAGAATTTTCAATGGTAATTCAACATATTTGTACGTGTTTTCTGATTCTGTCAGTTTCTATTCCGTTTAAAATAAATGACTCCTTAGATTCTTCCCTTAAAATTAGTTTTGGAGCAATATGTAATTTTTGCATAACCAGCTAAGTACTTGAGAAGCAGTGTTTCAGACGATAAAAGAATAGAGTGAATTATTTCTATTGGCAGAAAATTAAATGCAGTATCATTATCCAAAGAAAATTTTGAAAATTCACATTACTACTCGTTATAAGAATAAGTAGGCGAAATGTTTATAGGAATTTTATCAAGACAAGCTTCGAAATAGTTCAAAATAAAATTGGTTATGCATTTGCCAATTTAGCTCTATTCCTAACGGTAACCTAAGCTATCCCAGCTTAAAAAGTACTGGCTTTGGTAAGGCTTTAAGATTAACTTGTGATTCATTTTACTTTGTTTTCAAAATGAGAAGAGATCATGAAGTTCGTTCATAACTACATTGTTTGTAGTGGTTCTCAGGTTCATAAATGAGGCATCAAGAATTCTCACCTATAAACATGATGTTGTTTTTTTAACGAAGCATGGAGAAAAAAACTCAATTCGGGGTTTTATGTCACTAGTTCAGTCACATAAACAAATAATGATGTACTTTATCATCTTCTGATCAAAACTTCACTCATTTTTAGCACATAAAATGTATATCGTTAAAAACTGAAACCCTTATGTATAACAGAAATTGTTCCACTTATACAGACGTTTTGTTCACTAGCGGTAGGATAATTGGAAACATGAAGATTAAGCACATGACATATTGTGGTGTTACGGTTTACTTAACACTCAGCTGTTGACTACTAAGTTCCAGACCCAGATCCTTGAACTTGAATTTGGGAAAATGAGGTGACAGCACATTAAACTGACTGAAAACGGTCAGTGAAACCATAACGTGCCATTCGAAATACGAGATATATAAATCAGTATGAAGTTGATGAGCAAATAAGTTGTATTATATTACACTACATACTCATTGATCGAAATGTGCATTAAAGTCTTGTTTATACATCAGAAAATGACGACGACTGTTGATAGCCTGATCCAACCATATAGCTTCGAGGAAAAGATTGTTTCTGAGAGCGTACAGCTCAGGAAGTTTTAACTTCTCAGAAGTATTGGTGCTGTTGACTGAACATGTTCTTTTCTTCCCAAAATGATTAAACGTGTATTGGAACTGACTTAAATTATCTTCGGATTCACCACATTCCGATACTATATTTCGAAAAATTTGTAAAGCTTTCTTGAACCTTGTGCGAGCCAGAATACCTCGAATATGAGCTTGGAGCTTGACTATACTCTGTATTTCCGCTTTAAAAATTAAATAACAATATATAACAACTGTATACCATTTGAAAGATCGCGCATTACATAACACGGTTTTACTGACCGACCCAGACACTGGTTAGCAAAGACAAGACCCAAAGTTCCCTAGGAAGAATCCAACTATACTTCAAAGCTTTTGTGGTGAAATCTAAAATCAAATACAGGATAAGTTTTTATAACATCAAGCGAATTCATGTACGTTTTAAAATAGTTATCAAGTGAGGCCTTGTAGAAGAAAAAAACATTAGGATAAGTTATAGAGGTATCAAATAGCTGTTAATAATTGCTTTGATTGTTTAATTTTATTGTATAAGTGTCAAAAGTGACCATTCTACAAGTATATCTTCAAAACCAGTTATGTTTAAAATGATATGATTTACAACAGCTGTAGAAATTAAGCGATTATTGTATGGAGTTTACCTGTATCATACCTAATAAAACTACGATTTCTCATTTTCTGTAGTTTTATTAACGTCTCGAGTGGGCTTGGAAGGTTATTAGATTTACTAGTTAATTTGGCGTAATGCTCATCAAGCAGAGTTCCACTTTTTAGTAAACCCGTTAGATAATAAGAACCTCTTGAATAATGAGGTTTCGAGTTTTTTCATACAGGTTTGTTTTTACTTAGAAAACCATTTGTTACGGGTAAATGTTGAACAAAACACCTTTGTTTAAATCCTATTTTTTAAAGCTAAAACATGTCAAAACTTTGCAAGTAATACGCCTACTACAAACATATGAATATTTGAAACACTGATAAAAAAATTTATTTTTACATATTTTAGCAAAACACTTTGTAAACCAACATTAGTAAATTTAGGACAAACTGGATAAAAAACGAGGGACGACAGTTTCGTACCTTAAAACACTGGAACAAGGAATAAAAAAATAAAAGAACAACAGATGTTTCACAGTCCAGTGGGGTAATAATGAAATTAAAATTTTCTTTACAGATAACTAAAAGTGGTCAAGTATTTTCATTTCAGAAAAGTAACTTCCATTCAATTACTTTGAAATACGAGGGTATTTCTACCTCGGATTTCTAAAACGCAGAGTTTCACTGAAATTAAATTTACAAAGCAGTGAAGTTCGTCTCGAAAAAGGAGAGTGAAACAAGATAAAGAGAACGTTAAACGGATTCGGAAGTGTACATATGCTTGATCTCTGTAGTTTGATCCTTGGTAAACGCTAGTCAATGTCCTTAAGTGCATCACGATATTTATTTATTTAAACGCATAAAAATTGGTACAAAAGGGCACCGAATACATATACGCCCCAAAAGTCACTTGATTTATGTGAGGGCTGAGCTATTGTCCGATTGCCCAAACCAAGCAGGTGGTTTTCTTGTTAGGCCACGCCCTAAGTCTTTGATCTAACGGTTCAATCCACAAGGCAGTGAAGCAATGTAAGGAGATGCAATCCCATGTTAGCTGGTGACCAGCAACATGTTTAGACGCCACTTATTTCCATAAGATCCTGGAGCCCATGTGCACTATCGGTATGGAATCAGGGTTTCACAACTCCCCTAGGTGGATCCTCCGTATCCACCATGATATGCATAGATCGGGAGGTCGAGACAAGCGTGTAACTAGAAATGCTGAGTTATCCTGCATAAATACATTCGGAGATCTAAGGTATTTTTCTGGGACTAAATTTGCAAACTAAAATAAGGTGTCACACAGTTGTTACGAAGGGATTTAAGATAACTGCAACCAGTGCGTAACGTGTTTGAAATGCCAGGAATGAAGATATTTGTGGCACGATGAATAGTAACTGTCCTTGCAAAGTTGTATTTAAGCGACCGTTTCTTTTCGAAACAATGCTAGAAAACTCCGTGACAAAGCTTCTTATAAAATCTTTAGAAGGAAATGCATTGAAAACCGTCATAGTTAGTAAACATGAACAGTAGCAATAGCTCCATTTGACTTAAACTGTCCTATGTAACTAAAAGTGGTTTAAAAAACTTTCTAAAACAGAGAAGGTTAGCATCCAGACGCCTAAATATAGACTGGTCGGGTCCGACACCTATCAGTTTGCACAATGTTCACCATTGGGGTGAGTTGTACATTTTTCTTATTGTCGAGAAAGATAACTCGCATTGCGCGGCAATAGGTGGAATAAGAGGACTTATATTTACGTCCAGGTATGGATGGATTGGTGCGGGAAAATGGGTCACAAGACCTATTTTGAACTTATGTACACCACTCATGTTTATGCGAGCTTGAAAATCCGTACCATATTCAAAGATGAGTTGACTGGTTGAGTAGAAACCAGGTCATCGGTCAGTGATTCAGTAACAACGTAAAACTTCCTACGTACGTACATCAGTTCGAGTTGCCAACCACATTAGCACAGACATGCAGTTGTCAATTCAAACCCCATAGTGGAAAAGGTGGTAAAAGTATAAGCAGTAATCGGAAGGATTAGGGTTTGAAGATGTTATTCAAGGAGTATAATCCAGTGAAATAAATTTGGAAAGTGGAGAAAGAAATGGACATGAAGAATTCAGAAGATTAGAATATGGGAGAACACAAAGAGTGGATGCACATGCGCCATTGCAAACGATTTCGAGCCATGTCATTCAGGGTCTCTAACCATCAGTTGCTATCATCTCGCGGTCCCCAACCAGGTAGTCTACACCTACCAACATGACTCAGTCCACTTTTCAGTGACTTCATGGACTTGTGCCATGTTTCAGTCTGGCCACCCTTAGCTCTCTTCCAACCTACTCCTATACCACTGAACATCGCACGTCGAGGCAGTTGGTGGTTGGGCATACGTAACAAATGTCCCAGCCGTCTCAACTGATGAAGTTTCACTACCTCATCAATTGGTTTGCCATCCTTACCTAGTACCCGTTTCCTAACAACGGCGTTACTTACTCGATGGTCCCAGGATATACGAGCAATGTTTCGAAGACACCTATGGTCGAATACTGATAACCTACGAATATCCTCTCCTCTTACCGGCCATGTTTCACAGCATGTCTACGACAGAGTGAAACAAGAATGGAGAGGGTGGTCATACACGTTTGTGTGACCACTCACAGCTTTTAAGGGCTTGTAACTTGTCGCAATATCAGAGGTAGCTGCTTGATGTGTGCTTAAGTTTTTCTGAAACTTAAAAGGTTTTGGAATTTGACAGTCGCTTCGATGATACTTCGCTTTTTAGGCCAGTTTCCTACGAGATTACCCTTTTTCTACATTCACTTTTGGTTTTGCGTTGAGACTTCATAACATGCTTGTCTTTTCTTACTGTACGAAACGATCACAGGATCCTAACGAATGGACACAATGAAAACTGGATCACCTGGACATTTGTCTTTTCTTCCAGATTTGGTAGTATAAAGCCAAAAAGTTTGAGTTTTCATTGGCAGGGGAAGAATGTCTGTGTCGATGAACTAAAGATAGATCTCTTTGTATCTGATCTCACTAACTAAAATCCGATTTATCATCTATGTTTCATCCATCAACCTTTGCAGTGATACCAGTTCCCATCGAAAAGATTTTCTGGAAACATCTTAGAGTCAGTAACTTTCCAAAGTTTGGGGAAATATTAAACGAAATCCAAAGTTATCTCAAATATTCTGGGGAATCCCCCACAATAATTTGAAAGTTTAAGGTTTTGTCGCCTCTCTACAAAATTTTCTACTGCAGCTTTTTCAAAGTTTATCCAAAACTGATAAAAATTTAACCCAAAATCGAGAGATCGGCCCAATATGCAGGCATCATATAGGAGTTACAATTCAACTTATTAGCTATTTTTACCTTTGAATATGTGAGTTAAATCGAAATAAAATTAATGAATAATATATCTTTGTAGCCAAGAATACTTTTCTACTACCCAAATGCAAACGTTAGGTAACCAATAACCTAATCTCCGAATTTCAGGGAAACTTTCATCCGTTTTGAGAAACTTTTATGGAACGTTCCAGTACCGGCACAAAAAACCCAAAGTTTACCCAAGTCTGAGGAAACTCCTCAAGGTTTTTGGGGAAAATTTAGGGTTTACCACAATATTTCTCCGGAACCTTATGATATTTCGAGGTTTTCCCCCAAAATCTCCCTAAGCTTCCCGAAATCCTAATTTTAGGGAAGCCGCTATAGCAAACTTTGTGGAAATTTACAAGAAATGGCACCAAAACGCGAAAATTTCCCTAGATGTAGGGAAATTTCCCAATATTTCCCCAAAATTCCCCTTTAACTTCAGTGGAGGTCATTTGACTTTGGAGATTTCCCCGAAATTCCCCAAAATTTCCTCAAACTTGAGAGATTGGGTTTGACAACAACTACCAAATTTTTCGCGACTTTCAAGAAAACCCCAAGATTTACCAGAAATTTTTTCAAAACAACGAAATTGTGGATAAAATATTCTGTAAATTAAATCCATTGATGGAATTTTTTACCATTCTGAACATTCACCTGTCACTAAATAATAAAATTTCATTTTCATTATAGAACGCTATTGCTTTCAAGTTGGAAATGGACTCTAGCTTACGCTTATCAATATTGGTGACGGAGTAAGACCGCCTTTTGTTGCGTACGCCAAACGTCTTGAGTTGGCATTAGTAACGAATTTCAATTTCGATCCATACTTGGAAGGTATTCAAACAAAAGCCAGTATTATTTTTGCTATGGAGGCCATAGTTGAACCTTGTATGAATTATTTGAACATACTCTCGATCTTAATAAGTCATCAGAGCTCAGGTTTGTTTTCTAGCTGTAGAATACATCAATTCCCATAAAACATCTAATTGACAAACTTCGATCGGTACTCAATAGTTTTCCCGAAATTAACGAGTTGTTACTGAAATACTTATTTGTAGCCAGTAGTTTCACTTATCACACCACAATGACCTGAAAGCCTGATTTTATTCTTAAGCACACTGACAAGCTAAGAACGTCAAAAAACAAATTCTACTATATGCTGGGTTTTAAGATAATCTTTATCTTTGATGGTCAGTAATACTCGTTGCTGACCGCTATCTTTGTGTTGAAGGACAATGATATCCCCCTGACGGATGACCTAATTAAAACCAGTTCAGATACTTATATATTGGTGCACATCTGCAACTTGTATATTACTTAGATATATATGGCCGTATTTTTGAAAATCCTAATAGCAAAAGCTTACACATGAATCGATGAAACACCACAGAACCGTCGTTTTTATTTCACCATTGACCAATTAACTTTTTCTATTGATGAAAGTATAAGCATAGACCGTGATATGAAGTGCTTAACGATCTCAAAATTCGCTGTCTTTGAGTACAACCCTAAAATTCTCATTAGTTCCATCGTAGATATATTAAATACAGATGTTTTTCCTGAACGTTGATGATCTATTCCGAATTATTGGGGACCTACTCTAGTTAGAAAGGAATGGGATGACCAACAGCTAACCTCTAAGTCACACCTCCCGGTCAGCATCTAACGTGGATTACATTTTTGTCGTATCAATTTACATGGATGCTTCGATGACCGCACAACACAAAGGACGTTATTACAAAATTATATTAATTAAAGTAGATACACCACTACATGGGCCAGTCCATGGCGCGAGATTTATTTATACGCGTTGGTAGTCTTTGATCTCGATGGGAACCGATGAACCGTTCGATCTTCAGTGACCAGATGATTTGACCAAGGCCCAGTGAAATTTCAGTGGCCCTACACAACAATCATTGTAGTTTGCCAATGATGAATAGATAACAACTGGTAATCACTCAAATCCTTCGGGGGACAATCGTAGTATATACAATCAAAGTAAAGCATTTCGTAACAGGCCAAGAATTCGTGATTTATAACGGGTGTACATATTTGACATACTTCATTGAAAAGACCTAACAAGCACACTCGAGAGACCTGACAATTCTTTGAAAAACCTCATTCCACTTCATATTTATGCCATATTTCTTGAACGAACAATTCGGTAGAAGGTGCTTTGTGATTAGTAAATTCCCTGAGTCTTTTCCAAGGAATTGATTTTATTAAAATGGTCCAATCCCACAAGTTATACAACTAATCAGTTCTAGCTGTGCCTGACTAGAAAAGATAAGAGTGACAGTCATTTGGTTCATTCAGTGGCAGAAACTACCAAATTATGTACTCACTGTATCACCTCAACGTCTTTAATGCGTTCGAAGAACCATCGAGCTCACCAACCGATAATTTTACTTGCCTGAAAACAATGGGTTGGACAGCTGTATAAATGGAACAATCATTTAGGTAACAAGATATAACAAATATGTCAAAGGACTTCCTCGTGCTAGATGTTCGTTGGATTCATATTCATCAATAAAGTAAGCTACCTACCCGAATTAAATAAATCCTGTTATCTTTAGCATGCGTTGATCGTTTCACACGACACGCTAAATGCATATTAATACTAAGACTCTAAATCGCTCTTCGGATGATTTATCCCGAACTGTAGTTTCAAAAAACAGCCCACAAGTCAGCATTATGCATGAATGACCTCACTGACAATTGGAAGTTTCCTTCCCATCTGTAAAAACGTGTGATGGACTAAAACTTAACTTATTTACAGCTCAGTCGCTCAATTTTCAGAGGTCTTTTCAGGGGACACATTTTCGGTGCTTGAAGTAGACTTTACTTCCTTCATGAGACAGGTTCTAAACGTTATGCCTTACACTTAAACCAATCTGAACCTGATAAACATATGTCTTTTTGCAAACAACCATAAAATATAGTACACACATCTCTGGACTTTGTACTGACTCCTCGAAAGATACACAAGCTCGCCGATAGACTGGAAGTAGTACATGTCTAGAATATGCTTCCATATGTTTCCGATAAATATAGAAATTGTGTAAGTAACCACGGGACTACGAATAGTAATCAACTGCTGGCAGGTAACGTCAATTTCTCGCAAAAAGTTGGAATCGATAAGTTCTGAGTGGTTCCTTGTGTTACATGCGACATTGGTTTGATAGAAGTGTGATGTGGCAACTTCTAATGAATTGATGATGAGACAAATTCGAAGATATGAACAGACAAGTTATATTCGTGCGTTGCAAAACACCAAAATATCGTTTGGCATCACAATAATAACAATAAATTTCATAGGAAACTTCCATGTTTTAAGCTTTTAGAGTCGATAAAGGAAACAAAGGCAAAGCGGAAATCAGATGTTTGAGGTCAAAATTGTAACAAATTCATAATTTCAGTAAAATAAATACATCGAAACCCAGCAACGATTAAAATGACAATCTACAGTAAGTCGAAAGCTGGGTTTCTCTCATAACACTTGTAAGGCGTGCGATGAAAAAGCTCGAAAAAGCTCAGGACTTATGAGAAATGAGCTCTAAGAACAGTCATTTATATGTTTCCTCCTTATTTTCCAAGCCCTCCGCAATAACCAAACATAGTACCAGAGGGAATGAAATAGAAGCCGTATTTTAGTATTCATCGCACGATTCCACAGTATAAATGAAAACAACCAGGCTCCACCGGACATTGCTAACCGTTTGAAGGCTGTTTGCCGACGTGTGCTTGTTAGGTTTGAAGATTTCGCTGACAACGTCCAAGGTTTCGCATTATCATTGTAGGGTGGCAACGGACTTCGGGTCTTTAAAACTTCGGAAAACATGTGATCTTGTGGACGTTAGACATTTATGCTGACTTTGCTAGTTTCACTGTCAGTCACTCTGAAAACATCGGTCAGTCATAATCTGACTACTAAATGGAACATGCTTTTCCCTCTTTTGACTGGTAGTTAAGAAGCATCACATCCGTCTGTCACTATCGATGATAAAAATACCTTATTTCACCAACGCCATCCTTATTCTTGTTTGCGTTCTAGGTAAATTGCTGTGATATACTTGGAAACCAACAGCGTTCGATCCTGTCATATTCACAGTGTTTTTGCAGTGATTTATTTTCTTTCCTAACAACGACAGAATAATTGGTTGTAATTTTCATCTATGACAAAAGAGCGTTTTAGACGTTCGTAATAACCGCAGTCCTGCCCACCGTTTAGTCCCTGGTTACGTTAAACTTAATTACTTTTGTGTATTGTGCCCTACTTTTATTCAAGTGACTGGCTTTTATTACTGTTAATGGAAATAAAAGGTGCTTATATGCAATCCAGACCTAAAGTACCAAACGTAAGATTAGAAATGTTAATAGAACACTCAACGTCTACTACTGACTCCGAGATACTGTTAGCCAAATTAAAATCAGTGGAAATAACGTTTGTCGTTACTAGGATTCCAATGAGATCATTGCCCTATTATTGAATGTTAAAACATTTGAATTGACATTAACATTCTTAATCGTGTATTTGCCTTGACAATGAAAATGTGGTGTGATTCACTAGTTTGTAATTTACTGACAACCTTATATTATTACGTATTAAATGCTTATGGGAAACAAACTGAAGTCATTCGAATGTGCGTAAGAGATGTGAAATGAAAAATAAAGTTTGCCGACTATCATCGTAACGTTGCTTGAGCTCTCTAGCGGACCATGTAGGGAAAAACTACTGGTGTATAGATGCCTGGTAGTAGCCGTTCTTAAGCTAAAAAAACGGTTGTCTTCATAGAACTTAAAGTTTCCATGTTTTTAAGCTTACTTCCTCCTGACCTACGAGGTATTTCCACTTTATTTACAACACATCCAAAATTAAAATTCCCGTTTATTATTATGACAACGACCCAGAGGCGCATGCTAAGAGTAGGATGTGTATAATTTCCGGTTCCTCTGTAGGGAATAATGGATTCTATTTCGATCTGAGTTCCATTTCCGTCGTTACATTGTTTTCTTACAATGAGTTTCCTTTTGTATTATGGTTGTACACCCATTTTATTTGGTTGCTTTATTATATTCACCTCTTGTTTTTCAGATGGTCAAGAAATGTTAAGTCACTCTCTCGCGTGGTGTCTTACTCTGCATAATCTGGACATAAGTAACGTGACCGCTCGGGTTATGTAGTCAGACGTTGAAGTTATGTCACCTGATAATTGCCAAACTTGGCCGGGCTATTCTTCTTCCTTAATATTCATAGGGACTGAGTCGATCTCAATACATGAATGGTTTCCTTAAACGGTGAGATGGAGAAATTGGTAATACATAGGAATAATGATCCTCAAATACTCATCTCTGGTTATCCTTAGCCTTAATGAAATATCTGGTAATGGTTTCAGAGGTAATGACGGTTCGGATTGATGTTTGATTTGGTCTAAGTCTGATGTTATTTCAATAAAACATGTAGACCCTGACTTATGTCTTTCCAGTAATTTTATTGATACCCAAAATGATTTATTAAACTACGACGTAGGATACGGCAAACCTACTCACTTTACCAAAAAGCGTATTAGTAGTTATTTTGGCGGGGGAATCGGTTTATTTGCAGTTATCTTTAATCTGCGGAACACAGCGGCCCCACTTATTTATATTGTACATTGTCTAGTCCGACCAGCACTGTTTCAAAAATAGCGGATACGCTGCTGGTTTTTGTTTTCTGTACGTCCTTCTGTTCTCGTTATCATTTACCTCTTAACTACTAGTTATTAGTATTTTATTACCTTATGGACATGCAAAACCGAATTCAGTTTGACGATCACCGCGTCTACTATCGTGCCTAATATCTGGCAGTGCACCAACAAATCTGTTAACTCACAGTTCCCGTGTTTAGGATATCTTCTGTGTTTTTAGGGCTCTTCATTCTATCGAGAAGTAGTTCCTGGGCGCGAGAAATATAGTTGAAACTTTGTGGGTATCTAATTTAGGGGATGTGAATTCACATCGGAAATAAGTAAATGACGTACCATTTGTAATTGTGATGCTAAGAACTTACTGCCAGTCCCGTTTACTTATATGTTTATCACGGCGTTGAGGGGTGTGGTTTCTAAGTATACTAAGGTCGTGTTGCTGCCTGTACCGGGGTTTGTGTGACTTTCTAATTTGGTCGGAAGCATTAGATGACGTGACCCGAAATTATTTGAATAGGGACATATGTGTGTCTTGAGTTTTCATATCCCCAATTCTTCGTCCTATCCGGACTGCGTTCCCCATAGTCAGGTTCTCACTATGATTAATATTGGAAGATCATGTTACTTTGACTACTTTCATTGTGTTAACTCTGTGATAGTATAGAGTTTCACAACCAGTACTTATGTACTCTTCCAGAAACAAATTTGGATCTCTATTTAAACGTTTGATCTAGATGGTTTTCGATTAAGCTCCAGTAGTCGTGTTTTGAAAATAATGATCCAAGATAGATTCGCTACTTTTCCTATTTGATCACCAGAGCATCTTTTTTGTTCCTGGGTTACTTGGTGGATGGCGGTATAATGATTCATTCTGAGACTTTCTCGAGATCTTACTATTGTAAAGTGTCTTTTATAGTTTAGCTGGTATACTGTAAATATATCCTGTTATTTTTAAAAATATTTCATAACATAGATTTTAACGTGTAGATCGCTTCTGAAAATTGGTCTAGAGCTTTATTTTTTTATAATATAGACTTATCAGTGTACATCAATTTAAGCTTACCGAAAGTTAAATCATTATAATGAAGAAACTGTTTGTAGATTCTGTACACTTATGATCAAGTTAAGTTCAATTTGCAAACATCTTGACTACAAATATTCCGTTTTCGTAAGTGATAGGGATACGAATTCCTCTCCCAAATATTTTGTCTAGATAAGGTAGAAATTTTTAGAGTTAATTTTGCTTCTAATATAATCCCGAATCTTCCAAATAATTCGTGATTACCACTGAAAATAATTCCCTAAAATGGTTAATTTTAATAGCGTTATAGCTTCTGGAGTTGTCTTTCTTCAGTGGCACGAAGAATAAATCTAAATAGGTTCGATATCTAAAAAGTATGTTGAATATGGGTTATCAACTTTAAAAACTCTTGATGCGTCTAGAGTTCTGTGCCATGCCACAAAATATCTACGAGCACTAGTTTTTTGTGGAAGTTTCGTTTCAGTTTATCAGAACTACAAATTTCACACCGGCTAACTGTTATCACTTATTCATTTAGGCACTCTAGATATTTGTTTTCCATACCGTAGCTGCTACCTTGACGCGGTGGTCGGGCTTACCTATCGTGATGACCCAACTGAGCTATATTGGCTGGAACTTATGTTCCTGTAGATTTTACCATGCCAGGGAGGTCGGTTGGAGAACGGTAAGACTAAAGGCAGCAACTCATGATCTGAGGGCGAAGTCGTACTGTTGACTGTAAAGGGGTGTGACAACAGTAAGGCGTTTCCCCCGGACAACCAGCATCTGCAGCGATGCTGCCTTCTTACAAGGAAGGAAGTGGTTAGAAAAGGTTGACCCTTAAAATGTTACACCTCACGGATTTCCGTTTCCGGCGGTAAGGCCCTTTGAAGAACGGACCTAGCACATCAAAAACTCCCACGAAAAGGCCGTGCGCGACCAGCCTCAAGCAGTTGTCCCTTGGGCTCTGCTGTCACGCTCCCAGGTCTTCAAGGCCAACATTAATCCAACTTCCTTTTCAGGTTCCTCAAGAAATACCCTTCCACGGTGTGGGCAGCCGGAAAGTGACATCAGCCCTCATACCCGTAACAGCACACGAGACCAAGTTGGTCACATCCAAATCCTTCCTACACCTCCCAGTACTTCTCTTATCTCCACGACTGACCCTTCTCACGTCCCTTTATCATCTCGCAACGCTATGGCAAACGATTCGAGTACGCGGAAGGTTATTTCTGGTCTCCTGAAACCACACTCTAAAATACACGTAGGAGCATTCAACGTCCGAACACTGTGCCAAATAGGACAGCAGGCTTCCTTACCTAAGACTTTAGAATCCCGCGCCATCGATGTGTGCTGCGTCTCCGAAACGCGCATACAGGATCCGAGTAGCGTCATTCATTTGACCTCACCATGCCAAAATAAAGAACCGACTCGATTCACACTTCGTGTATCTGGAAGCTCTGATACTGCTCCTCGTGGCCTCGCCGGCGTAGGTGTAGCACTGAGTCCTAGGGCAGAACTAGCTCTTTTAGAGTGGATCCCAGTAGACAGTCGTTTGTGCGCTGTCCGACTAAACGGAACAGTAACGACTCGGAAAGATAGGGACACTCGTCGTTGCCTCTTCGTCGTTTTTGCCTATTCTCCCACTGACTGCAGCTCAGATGATGTAAAAGATGAGTTTTACAGAAAGCTTTCCTACCTTCTCCGAAAAGCTGGACGCTCTGATGTAGTAATAGTGGCTGGTACCTTTAATGCTCAAGTAGGTAAATTAAGTGAAAGGGAAGACACCTGGGTGGATCTTATAGCGTCGTGGCTCAAAGGACAGATAATGGTGACCGTCTGTTGCAGCTATGCTCAGAAAACCGCCTGTTTCTTGCAAATACTAGCTTTAAGCATAAGTAAAAATATCCTTTTACATGGCGACCCCCCAATTTGTCCCAACGTTGGACCCAAATAGATCACATCGCTATCAGCCACCGGTGGAGGGGCTCCATAGAAGACTATCGCTTGTTCCGGAGCACATGCTTAGATTCAGATCATGCTCTAATGAGAGTGCGTATTTGTCTTAGTCTTACTGGACGTTATTATTTATTTATTTTAACAAATAGACATTGGTACAAAGAGGCACTAAATACATATGCGCCACACAAATCTCATTCGATATGTGTGAGGGCTGTGATACTGCCCGGGCGCCCGGACCGAAGCAGGTGGTTTTCTCAGGGGGCCACTCCCCGAGCCTTTGACCTGAAGGTCTGATCCACAAGGCAGTGGAGCATCGTAAGGAGATGCAGTCCCATGGAAGCCGGTGACCAACAGTTGGTTCATACGCCATTTGTTCCCTCAGGATACTGGAACCCTTGTGCACCATTGGTTTGGAATCCGGTTAAAGCGCCGGACATTCGCTTTTCGTCCTCTCATTTTCGTAAACAACACCCAACTGCGAGAAGGCAGTGAGTAGGACTTCCCTGGCAGAGGCTATATACGCGTGGCCATGTGAGAGCATTTCGAGAGGGAGAGCGGACGTAGGAAAGACGCTGTAAAGAAACCTCTTAGGGCCCTACTTAATGATAGTCAAGCCCAGAGTATATTTGAGGAACAACTAGAAAAACAGTTGGGCAACCGTGTATGCGATACCCACCCCGAGGCAGCATGGAATGATATTCGAAAGGCTGTGGAAACAGCAGTGATATCTGCTAGTATGGTAAACCAAAAGGATAGGGAGAAACACTGAATCTCAGCAGCATCTATCTCACTGATAGATGCTCGGGAACTCATTCGACCTGGCTCTGAACGTAACGAAGAGCGGAGTCAGCTTAAGCGCAAGCTGACAAGAAACCTACGCAATGATCGTGAACAATGGTGGGTAGCGAAAGGAAGATAGATGGAAAAGGCAGCGGCAATAGGTAATAGCAAACAACTGTTCAAACCTGTTAAGGAAACCGGTATTAGGAACCCGACTGTTGGCGAAACAATCTCAGAGAAAGATGGACATATTATACATTCTCAATCCAGGAGATTGGATCGATGGGCAAAACACTTTAGGGATCAGTTCAACTGGCCTTCAGCCACACTTCGATTCCTCACGATCTCCAGTCAACCTGAATGGCAAGTTAATGTAGGTCCTCCGACTTTTCACGAAGTTGAAAAAGCCATAGGAAATCTGAAGCGAGGGAGAGCAGCAGGCTCTGACAGGTTTACTCCTGAGATTTTTAAGGATGGTGGTTCAGTATTAGCAGTGAGATTAACTGAGGTCTTAGGTACTTTGGCCAGTGTGTTTTTATATTTTGTTGCCAGTAAGCATATATGTTGTAGGGATTATTATAAAGCTATCCTTGACTATATGGCGAATAACATAAGAGAAACAACTTGAGGTTATTTGTAACCGTAATACAACTATAATTTTTACACACTTTAATCGTATAGGTCAATTCATCTCTAGTAATGACTACTGACTTTGCAAAATGCAGTCCTAACAATGTCGATTCATCGAACGACCTTCCTCCGGAAATTGATAACGAAATTTTAGAAGCAGATCTTGAGGAAAAACAACGCCTAATAAGTCAGGTAAGCTTTTGTTTCTTTATTTCCATGTTTATAAATTGCTTTGAGTGATTACATAGAGACTGTAATTACTGAAAATAAGTATTTTCAAACGAAATTTTTGTGACAAATGTTCAAGAGACATTTTCATCCTCTTTTTTCTTTGTGGAGAGCCAGGTTCTCTGGAGGTACTGGTTATCTGTGGGAAATATCCTGTTCCTATCATACATCAGTGTAATCAACTCTCATACCTGCTTTGTGTTTTGCAATCTGCCGACCGATCTACTTGTCATTGTAGGATATTAGAGAACAAGTATTTCAATCAATATAGTTTAGTTGAATTGTCGCGTTAAGCAAGCCCAGTCACTACGCCAAGTTAGCATCTGTTATTTTATGGATGTAAAAATACAGTTAAATTGTTTAACAAAATAAGTGACACTAACATACAACGTTTCCAATGTTTTGTGTTTTTAGAATTATTGTTGCATCTCATGTGAATCCCTATTCAGTATCTAAATGGTTACTTGCTCAATTCAAAACTAGGGGCTCCCGAACTGCGCGTAAAGTCATGTTTGCACGCATTAGGTCCACCTTCTAAACTTTTCAGATCTTCATAACTAATATTGATTTTATTTGTTTTTATGCTTTTTTTATCATTTTGTTCTAAACGAATGTAGATTTTGGAGCTACAACATACACTTGAGGATTTATCCACACGGGTAGATGCTGTAAAAGAAGAAAATTTAAAATTACGTTCTGAAAATCAAATCCTTGGCCAATATATCGAAAATATGATGGCAAATTCATCAGTTTTTCAATCAACATCACCACGTGTTGATGAAAATAGGTCACGTACAAATAAAAGAGTTGGGAGATGATTATAAGAAAATGTGATATATATTACATACAATAAAGATGGCTAGAAATGCTGAAGGTAAAGATGGGGATAATTAAATTCTTAATACTTCATTTGCCCTAATTTTTTTGGGACCTGATAGTTCTGCGAATTTCAGAGTTTTGTGATCACGACAGTGATAATAATATTTGCAATGTTGGATTTCAGCTATTTTCTCATCTTCGAATGTTTCTCTTCGTAACTTTTTAAGCTGATAATCTTTGTTGTCTTTCTACTGCGCTTACACTAAACAAAGCACTTGTAATAAAATCAACGATAATATTAGTCATGTTAACATGAAGGATGGCTTTTCTGTTGTTTTTAACTTCTTATTTTACGATCTTGTGATTTTCATTTTATTACATTGATACGCTTTTAGTTTTACCTCTGCCTGAAGAAATTACATATGCATTTATATGTTAGCAAGTAAAGTGTCAATGCTGTCTGCTTTCTTTTCATGTAAACAACATTGTAATAATTTAGCCCAACGTATCTTATCATCAATAAGTGAGTTTTTCAGTAAATCTATTTGATTTACTATGTAGGAGAATTTCTATGTGACGGAACGTTTTTGGAACTTCTGGTGTATCTCTTTAGTTTTTGTTAGTGTTGCAATGTGATTTGTCGAGTTTCAGCTAACCGTTAGTCAACAAACAATCGGGTTAAGGCGCACTGCTTGTTAAATAGTCATTTAATATTAGAATCGACGATATTATTTGGCATTTTCTTATTCAGTTTGGGAGGATATGATGAAAACTAAAGAGCTATTCAATAGGTTTCAATATACTATCTTATAAAATCAATTCTTTTGGGTACATATTGTGATGAATTCCAAATATTTCGTAAAACTTCAAGATCTGGGTAAGCTTGAAAAAAAATCGTTTAATATCAAGATTCTTAGTGCTTTAGTGTAGAGCTGTTATGGAGTTTCTGATACATCTAAGACTAAGTGAAAATGGTCTGCACCTAGCGAGGCGAAAGTCCGCAAGGAACTCCAACTCTTGAAGCGCTACAAATCACCGGGCCCAGATGACTTACCTCCGGCCCTTTTTAAAGATTTTAGTGACTTTCTGGCTAAGGAACTGACAGTTGTTTACAAAGGTCTGGCAATTATAGTGTTCTAACATCATGGAATAAGTAGATAGTTGTCCCTATCTTTAGAAAGAGTTCACGTCGTTTCTGCAATAACTATCAGAGGATAAGTCTACTTCCGATTGCGTCCAAGCTATTGATTTCCGTCATACTTCTCAGATTGTTCAAAACCTGAGAAAGATTAAATCGAGAGGAGCAGGTGGGTTTTCGTTCTGGTTAAGGATGTATTGATCATATCTTCACCCTTTTCCAAATGCTAGAACATCGTCATACTTATCACAAGCCAACAATCGTAGCGTTACTTGACATCAGGGCTGCCTTCGATTCGCTGGACAGGACCGTTCTCTGGGATTGTCTATTAAAGAAGGGTTTATTAACATCTTGAAAGCCCTATATACAACCACCTCTCTCCACTGTCCCATTCAAGCAGTGGGGTTAAGTAGGATTGCCAAATCTCACCATGGCTCTTCAACTTTGCTGTCGATGACGTTCTGGAAGCAGCTCTGATGGATGTAGGTGATGGTGGTGTGGATCTGTTGCCTAAAGAATGACTTTTCGACCTTGAGTATGCGGACAATATTATCCTATTGTGCGATGGTACCCAAGCCATACAATCCGCACTTAATCAGTCGGTAATCATTGTTCGTAGGTATGGTATGTGCTTTGCACCTTCTAAGTGCAAGGTACTTTTACAAAAGTGGCAGGACCCTGAACGTGCACTCATCCTGGGTAGTGAGTGGATGGAATTAGTCGGGAAGTTCGTTTGTCTGTGTAGCTGCGTAAGTACTGGTGGTGGCGTGAGTAATGAGATCAATTCACGTATAGTGAAAACCAAAGCGGCTTATGCCAATCTGGGCCATGTTTGGCGCTTTTGTGACGTTAATCTGTCTGCAACACTTTCGAACAGTTTTGCTCTATGCTTGTGAAACCTGGCCTCTTCGAGTTGACGCTAGACGACTTGTAGTGCTATGTTAAGCCCACGTAGCTTATTCTAGCTTCCGAACAGGCGTATGTGTGCACTTATTATCCTACTAGTCACGTCTGTAACTTATTTCTATCTGACTATAAATATGGATTAACGCTTGAATAAAACGAGTTGGCTCACACGTCTCCCTTTTGCTTCGCTCTTTCCTCTTTGTTTCGTCTCTCTGATTGCCTGTTCAAATCAATGAGTGCATGATATATAGATATTCAAAATCCATCCTCATATTTGATTTATTTAATTCCGTTATTCGCCAACACGTATTGAGTCGATAAGTATATACGAGAATAGCCGATATGTATATTTCAATAACATTATTACGATCCAATTAGAGTCAGATATCGGGCCACTAAAGACTCACTGTGTTTGGTCATCGTTTTCTCCGAAGGATTGTTGACATCCAGTGGCAAAACAATGTCAGTGATGCAGGCTCGGCAACGTGTGTTCGGGCACAGCGATGATAATTCACTTGGGGTTACAATCTTGAAACATTAACTTTGGTGGTTTAGACACACCCTACAAATGTCCCAGGGAATTTTACGTCGTGCATTATTTGCTGACACTGGAATTGGTTGGAAAAAGCGGATAGGTGGTCAGTGTATGACATGGTGTCGCGGTATGAAAGAACGCTATGCAGGACTTGCTTCTCTTGGTTCTCCAAGACCCTGGTTGTGTGTCTTGCAAATGGTGGATTATACGTTGTAATTGAGGAAAAAAGAAAACCACCTTTGAAATTACCACTTTTCAAGAGTGCTCTAAGTCAAGGAAAATTTAATATAGTTAAAGGGTTTAGTGTCTTTTATTTATATACTTTTTGACTTTAACTGATATAAACACATATACCGGTTAAGTTCTGTTGATAATTACGTCGGATAATCACCAAATATGAAAGGTTACCGGGATTTGTATTGTTCAACCACATGTTGCCTCAACAGGCGATGTTGTGGGGTTTAGAAGTAAACTGGAAGACAGTCGGTCAAGCCAATACATAGCATTAGCCCATGACGTCATTGACTGTTGAACTAAACCCTATTGATAGGCCCATGCTGCCTGGTTGGGGTCCATACAGTTATCATAGTCAGTGGTTAGAGATAGGCGACAAGGCTCACAATCGATACCTACCTCGTAGATTCATTTGTTCTTTGGATTTGCTTTAGATCACGAGTCTCAAAGTCGTGTAAATTTTTTGTGCCTAACTTTTTACACTACTACTGATACCACTACTTTCACTACTGTTGGATTTGTTTGGATAATTAAATCTCGTTGAGGTAATGTAGTATGGCGACCTGAACCAGTGCATAAATGTGCCAGGTTTTACTTTGTACATAACTGACTGAAGTAGATGTTAATTAAATATGAACTAACGAGAAATTAAAACTTTAAATCTTAGTTAAATCAACGTAACGAAACGTTCAATACTTTAACTTATTTCTCAATCATATAACAATTCTCCAGAAATGATTAATCAAAGTTGAAATTCATTTAGCATTGTTAATAGACTCAATTAATTGTTCAGCCCTAGACTTGTGTTAATTTTATGTGCAATTATTATCTTCGCACAAATGTCTTTGTTTTTTTTCAACCAAGGAAACACTTGACATGATAGTCTTAACTCAGTGGATAAGTGAAATGAGATCATATTTTTTTGTATTTTAGGATACATGCTGTCTGCATTTAATACTGTATGTAATCAGAATTAAACTAATAGGGATTAAGGGTGAGCCTTACGATTGAAAGTCACTCCAAATATAAGATAAGAACGGCTTATGTAATTTTGTTTAATTTGTTACAATGACAATTGAAAAAAAAATCAGTCTACACATATGGTTAACTCTTAGATCTAATAATCAAAATGTCAGTTATGTTTATGTTCGTTCATATTTTGATCAGTTCGAAACTGTAAAAAGCTCATGTATGCACTGCAAAACAATTTGATGGGACAGAAAACATTGATACCTATTTGGTTGAAAAATCCACCGACTTTAAACTACTTGCAAATAGTAAGTAGTACTTGTCGAAAATACTTCAGTTTTTTAAGTGCTTGTTGGTCGAATTCAAAACTAGTGGTTATTTTTTCAACTCTGTTGTAAGGTGAATTTAGAACGAACTAGCGTTTTGATCACTGGAAAAAATGTTACTCGATAATTAATTGTTATTCGGTCAATGAAAAAGCCATTCAGTCACGTTTAACATGTTTAACATACTTGTGCACATGTTCGTTTAGTTTTTTGTCAACATGGTTCGAAGAAGTAAACTTTACAAAGGTTTACGATATCAGATTAATTACTTATGTATTGACAAGTTAGTTGGTTTGTTAAGCGAATCGATAGAAATTGGATGCAATCAAGAGTGTAGTCGATGGCGTTATCGTCTTAATTACACTTCATTTATGGGGATTTTTACTTTTCCGTTGCCAATATTATGGACTCTGTAATTGATAAGTCTCTTATTGATATATGTGCATCCTGAGTGGAATTCGTCGATATTAGCATTTAGCTACGTTTTTATTGGAGTTGAATAGTGGCGAATGATGGAACCCAGGACTCGCTTTTCATCCTATTTATAACTCGTTTGCTGGATGTTCCCATAACTCAGTGTTGGTACATATTGACTAATCATTTGAGATCCCTAATATCAAAATGTGAAAATATGAAACCCTACGAATTAGACTCATGCTCATTGCACAAGCTATCTGAACACAGTAGCCTAGTGGGTAATACGTTGGGACTTGAAGCCGAAGTCAGTGGGTTGGTGCCTTAGTGTGAGCGCCAACACTGTAATGCTTGTTCATCCATCTGGTCAGTCCCAGATGATATGAAATGCACATCTCGAATCTTAATGTTAACCACTACCCAACCATAGATTTCATGCTTTATGTTGAAAATAGATTGAAATTAATTTGTTACTTG